AGTCTGGTTAAGGCAACCAGGTATCGTCACTGCTGCAACAATTTAATTTAAGTCATTTAACCATTGCTCTGTGGTTATAACAACCAGATAATTAGTTGTTCCATATTTTACTATTTAATCTGGTTGACCCAACCAGACTTCTGTTTGTGACAACTATATTGTTTTTTCCGTGCAGAATAAGAAAAAGTAAGTATTTCTATTTATGCAATCATTAATTTTTGCATTTAGATACTTACGAAAATAAAACCTCGAGTGAAACCATTTATTGAATTATCGAGATGGCAACGAAGCAGACGTTTACGTCAAAGTATGGACGAAACAATTTTTGAAAATTACGATTTTGGTAAGGAAGCTAGTATAGATACAACCATCTCAAGTAAAGAGCAAACCACTGAAAAGTGTCAAGCGGAAAATTCTTTTATTCAATCTCAGTGTATGGATTATAGTCACATCGACTATTCCAGTGATTCAAATCATTCTAATGTATCTATACGAGAAGAAATCGATTCAATCGAAAATACAGTAGACTGCAATAATTGTAAATCAAACGAACTTACCTTTAAGTGAAGTTCGATTGAAATTATATGAAAGTATCGTTCGAAGGGATTACATTTAGGTTGTGTTCCGATATTCACTGCCAGTACTGCAAATCTATAGTTTATGTCACGTATACTATACATTTTCAGTACTGGCAGTGAATATCGGAACACAGGGTTAGTAGTACCGCTACTTCCGCCTGGATGAGTCACACAGTTTAGAGAGTCTATAGTAAAAATATTCTATGACACGCGCCTGCACGCTCCTGTACGGTCATTGCATCTTCATAAATTTCAGAGCTGTATTTCTTGTTGGTAGAAAAATAAAAGGAGAAAATTCATATTTGGGAGGGAAAGGATGTTTGTAAGGGTAGGTTGTAATCCCTTCGAACGAGACTTTCATACTATAATTTCAATCGAACTTCACTTGAATGTAAGTTCGTTTGATTTACAATTATATTTCAAGGGCTCGTTCTTCGTGATTACATTTGGTAGATGTTTAGCATTTAGCAAAATTTTCTACTTTTTTATTTTTTTTATTTAATTTTTTAAATTTATTTTATTTTTATTTTTATATTAGTTTCCTAATATTGTTGACGCAAACACACCCTGATCAGAGATTGGTCTTTGGTTAAATTTTGCAAAAACGTTAGACTGTTCCGACCAACTGGCTGTTTTATAAATAATATTGATGTCTATTCCTTTCTGATCAGCTGCCGAAGTTGCCGCGTGTCGCGTGCTGTATGCTGTGTATCATAAGTTAACTCCTGTTTGTCTGAGACATTCCTTTATCCATCTACTAATGGATTGTGTGCTTGCTGCATGATAATTGTGATGAATAAGTTTTCGACATCTCCTCTCAAATCTTTGGTTGCTGCCAAGTAATGGATGATGGCTCTTGCTACACATGTTTTATGTGTCTCTTTGAAAAAAGGTAGAAAGAAATTTGGTTGTTCTGCTCCTGCTTTCGAGGTTTTAATTGCCTTTGTTATTCTTATCTGAACTCCCTTTTGTGAAGAAAAAATATCTTTAATCTTTATCGACGCCAAAGTCTGAACTCTATGTGCCGTTGCTAATGCCAGTAGAATAACTAATTTGTAAGATAAATGTTTTAAATCGAAGGTATCTATCGGTTTTAACTTTTCAGTCCATTTTAGTACTACTTCAATGTCCCATATAGAATTATATTTCGCTCTTGTAGGTTTTAGTTTGAATACTCCTTTCAAAAAGCGAGTCAATATCGGGTTGTTCGAAGAGTTAACCAGAATGATGAGTGATATTGCTGATCTTGCCATGTTGAGAGTGCCATAAGAAGCACCATTTTCAAATCGTTGAGATAAGTACTGTATAGCTTCAATGCCTGCATGGAAAGGATTCCGTTTCCATCTTTCACAAAAATTCCACCAACTTTTTAAAGCAGGATTGTATTGACGTAATGTTGAATCTGTTAAGGATGAGACCAAAATGTTGATAACGCTTTCAGGCAGATTTTTGTTTCTGTATGCTAACCGCATAATTTTCCTGCAACCAAGGAAAGATGCCTTGCCAGAAGATGTCTCAATGATCTGCAGGGAGATAATAAGAGATTAGATGTTGGAGAAAAAGTTCTTGTTTGTCTGTAAGCATTGACATAAATATTGGATACCAAGGTTGGGAGGGACAGTTTGGAACGACTAAAATACCACATGCTTTATCATCTCTTATCTTCTGTAATGCTTTTAACATAACAGAAAAAGAAGGAAAAGCATAAAAATCTAAACTCCCCCAATTTAAAGTAAACGCATCTACAGGGTGTATTCTAATTCGCGCCCACCATTTTTATAGTGATATTTCTCATGAAAAACTGACAAGGGAACGGTCGGAAGTGTCCCTCACCGATTTGAATGAGCTTTGGATATGTTGTAGAGCATAAAAAAGTATTAGACCTGTATTTTTTTTATCGGCTTATCTCGACGTTTAGGGGGTGAAACAGCCCTTCGAAAATAAGGGATTTTTCATTTTTTACGAATATCTTCGAAAATATAAGTTTTATGGAAAAATGTTTTAGACAAAAGTTTTATTGTTTTTTATAGTCTTTACAATGGCGTAATCACATTTTTCAACAATCTCAAATTTTTTAATTTACCCCCATCCCACCATTATTTTTTAAAAATTAAAAAAAATTTCAACACAAAAGTTTAAGAGCATCAAATGACAATTATATCCATGTATATTTTTGTTATGATACGACGATTTGATTTTTGGGAAAATCAGATTTATGAGGTATAGGCGTCGCGCTGTAGGTAGGTGTTGCGTTAAGTACTCCTTTTCAGTTGCGATGAAATATGTCGTATGAC